TGCCACAAACCTTAAGGTGTATGTTACTGTTGCATCTATGAGTCCACCTAACACATTTATTAAGTTTTTAGAGAGAGAGAGACTCGACAGTATATTTATAAATGTTTCTTGGAAACCACTTAACGCTGCTGAATCCCCCATCCTGAGGTAGGTCCTGAAGAAGCTGCCTGACTCTTCATCAGTGGTCAGTGAAGAGCATGTCTGCGACCTCAGAGTTGTCAAAAAAGTCAGCAGTGGTTTCGCTAACTCCAGAGACACCGTCTTTGTCAGCTCTGCCTCCAGTCCACAGTCCTGTCTCCCGGACAGAATGCAAATTGTTATTTTGGGAAGATCATCTAAGAAGTTTTCTCTCAGCAGTGGCTGAAAAATATTGTACAAGTTCATCAGGGCACCATAATATGTGTTTAAGTCAAAACCGGCTCTGGTGGTAGAGGAGCTGAAGCTGCGTGTATCTCCATTAGATAGAGAGTGGATTTGATCAATAACTTTTTGGATATCTTCTTCTAACTTGGTGCCCTCACCAGGAGTCTGGTTTGTGGTTCTTTGCATTAATTTGGGTTGCAAACTCGTTTGCTCGACATCACATATGATTCCGGTTGATGCTAAACAGAAAGAAAGACAGAAAGAAAGAGGGTCATTGTGTTATTTTTATACTATGTATTCAGCAAGCTCTTACTCTAACTGAAGTCTGAAGCCTCTTTTAGTAAGTAAGTAAAGTTTATTTGTTAAGCGCTTTTCATAGACAGCCAATCACAAAGCGCTGTACACAAAAGGCTAAAAAGAAACAGAAGGTTAGGTACCAAAATAGACAATTTAAAACAAAAAACAACAACAAAAAAGTTACAACTGTTGTCAAACGTTCACTGGCATGAATGTCATGGTACTTTGGGGGCTTTAAATCGTTTATTTGAACTGTTTTTTTCAGGGTGGAATGGCTGTACAGCATACATCTTTAGTGACTTGAAGAAACGAGTTTGGTGCACAAGCTTGAAGTTATTTGGAATTTTCCCAAAGTCACACAGGGTTAAAATTACACAATGCATACATATATAGGCTCAAATGTATACATACAGCCCCACTAATATTTGGTTGAATGTTCTTTAACAAATTTCACCTTGACCAGATGTTTTTGGCAGGCATGAACAAGCTGGTGGCATCAGTCTGGCTGTGTATTTGACCACTCTTTTTGGCAGAATTGGAAGAGTCCATTTAAAGTGGTTGGTTTCCTGACACCAACCTGGCTTTAGCATAGTCCACAATTTTTTAACAGGGCTAAGGTCAGAGGTTTGTGTTTGAAAGCCTTACTTTTATTCCTCTCGTCACTGTGGCCAAACAGCTCAGTATTTGTCATGGACATTAGGCCGTTTCCAGTTCGTGGCTGGCTTGAGCTGTGGTGGTTCCTGAACATCCTAACTATTTTTTTTCTCATCTGAAGGTGACAGTTCAGGTCTTCTTTCAGATTTTTGCAAAGCGGAGACACACCTTAAGAACTTTTTATGTACAGTTATTTCAACTGATGATCGTGGAATCTGCAGTTGTTTAGAAATGGCTCCTTGGACTTTGGCCACCCCAGTGAGTGCTATCAGACAAATCCTTTTTATGTTGGCAAAGAGAAACTATCACCTCAATTCAATCATGATCAGTGACGAGATCTTAATACACCTTGGTCTTATCAAGTTATAAGACACCATAGAGCCTTCAGCATCACGTATTAAAAGTGAGTGTATGTATTTGAACCTGTATGCAGCCTTCTGACCTTGTGTGGAAAAGAGAAAAACCAAAATGAATCCAAACTTATGCAACCAATACTTGGTTTTTTTTGTAAAGATGTATGCTGTACAATTATTCCACCCTGGAAAAAGAACGGCTCAACAAAATCATTAAAAGCCGTGACATCCATGCCCATATCATACAAAATGACGGCGTTGCTTAGTACGAAACAAATATTGATTTTTTTTTATGATTGAGAACCAACAATCAAGTTTACTATTCACACGATATATGATACTTGCGATGGAAAAGTCAAGACTTTCTATTAGCTAATAATGCTAAATTAACAGATTATTTTTAATTCAATTTGTGTTTTATTTATCATGTAATACTACATTAGAGGAACATTTTACTTTATTTTTTAAAATTAAGACTGGCTAAAAACTGTATTTTGTACTCACCAAATAAGATGCACACAATGCAAATAGCTGGTGCTGACCACATTGTAAATGTCCTGAAATGTAAGCAGGAAACCCCCTCAGAAAAGTTTTTGTTAAATCCTTTTTGTTGTAGAGAAAGTTTTTAGCTTTGCTGAGAGAACAGGCCAGAGAACAATCTTCATAACTGCTAACACTATAATGCCTGTCTCTGCTGAAGAAGTATTAAACCTCCTTAGGATTTTATCTTCGATCCTTCTTCGGTGCCGCTGTGCTCAAACAAGCTGCCGACTCTTCACTTCAGTGTCAGCCTGCAACTCTACACCTGGTCTGAAAGCACCGTAATTAAGGACACTGGTAAAGGGGAAAAAGGAGGTGTGAAATGAGGGCTGTGAAACGCAGAAGGGATTTAAGCAATGGGCACAGCCAAAATGTTGCATTATTAATCGAGTGTGTTGATTAAGTCCTCCATTTGAAACTGGACTCCTGTCAGGAAGAGACAGAAGACACCAGACTGACTGCTGGAAGATTTATATGACATCTGCTACCAACAACTCCCATACCCGACCTGATCCAGCCTCTAAAAAGAGTAAAATTAGAACATCTTTGAATCTAAGATACCATAAAATGATAACAATTCTTATCAACATACTATTTCCCCAAATATATGCAAGAAAAATGATGCGTATGATTTAGATGAGTATGTCTCACTTGCTAAAATTGATCTTTTGTTCCTTGTTTCACCTCTTGTTTGACTGCAGCTCCATTTGTATGTTGAGGAGAAAGTGCTTACAAAAACACGCATGGTCAAACAGAGAGCAGAGAGAAACCTACATAGATCCTAGGCAAGTGAGAGGTTCTCACATAAAAAAATGAAATCAAACCAGTGCAAATACAGCAAATAATAGGAATTAAATATTCTCCCAACATCTTTCACTTCTTAGAAATGACTTGTTCATCTTGTTTGTACAGGTGATTATAATAAAAGCAAGTGTTTACCCCCGTCCTAATTTCTTAGCATACTTGTCATACTTCAGTGTTTCAGACCATAAAACAAAGATAATGAACTTTTTAAATAATGATGTAATTTATTAAAGGGAAAAAGTTATCCAAACCTACCTAAAAAGTTGTCCCCCTTTGTTGAATTATGAATCCGCTTGTATTAACCACAGGTTTTCTTGGGGCGGTTTGGGGGGGGGGGGGGGGGGTAATCTGAGTTCAATTTTACCAGCCACAGGCAGACCACCTGTTTGGTCAGAAACATTTGCTGACTAGAAGATGTCTGTCAAATTGAAAAAGGCTAAATGATCTCAAAAAGGAACACTTCACACCATGATCTAAAGAAACTGCTGAGAAGACTGACATCCATCAGCCTGGAAAGCCATTTCTAAGGCTTTGGGACTCCAGCAAATACAGTGAGTGCCGTTATCCACAAATAAGGAAAACTTCAACAGCGGTGAACTTTCCCAGGATGGGCCAGGCGACCAAAATTGATCCAAGAGGCTCATCCAGGAGGTCACAAAACAAAACAACTTCTAAAGAACTGCAGGCCTCACTTGCCTAAGTTAAAATCTAAGTTCATAATACAACAATAAGAAATATATGTATAGGAGAATTCCAAGGATAAAACCACTGCTGATCAAAAAGAACGCAAAGGCTCGTCTCACACTTACCAGGAGACGAGATGATTATCCACAAGACTTTAAGGAAGTAGCAAAATATTCTGTTAACTGACAAAAGTTTAACTTTTTTTTGGAAGGTTTGAGTCCTTTTATATCTGGATCAAAACAGCATTTCATAAAAAATATTATACCAACAATCAGACAGTGGTGGGAGTGTGATGGTCTAGGCTGCTTCAGAAAGGGGACGACTTGATGGAATCAGGAATTCTGCTCTCTACCAGAAAACCCTGAATGAGAGTCAGTTTTTCAGTTCAAGCGTTCTTGGAGTGTGCAGCAAGATAATGATCTGACACATACGACCAGGTCAACCCCAAAATGGCTCTGGAAAAACAAAAAGGTCTTGGATTGGCCTAGTCCAAGTACAGAGTTAAATCTGATTGAGATGCTTTGGCATGACCTTAAACAGGCCGTTCAATTACTTTTTAAAAAACATAGGACTAGGTAGCTTTGGATGGCTTTTTTTCCCTTAAACATTTTATATTAACTCAGGTCATCTTTGTCTAATATAAAAGAACAATTGATGATCTGAAACATGACAAATGTGAAAGTACAGAAGGGAGCAATTAATTTTTCACAAAGCTGTAAATGTTAATGAACTTTAGGTTATAAATACCTTTGTACCATTCAAAAGCAAGTTTTTGTAATTTGAAGATGGATTTAAAAAAAAAAAAAAAAGTGTGATTTTGACTTAAGTGCAGCCTTTGAGCTTTAAGCAAAAATATTGGATTAACTTTATTAGACGCAACACAAAACACTGAGTGAACATTATGCTGATCAAACTCTGTTGAGATAAATAGTACGAAGCACTAAATCCAACATTTGTAGGCTCTAATACTTTGTGCCATCATTCCCGTGGAATTGACGATATCAGACTTCTACCTTTGTCCTCCCAGAATTTAAAGAACATCTTTCAGCATCATCTGAACTGTAGAGGAAATAAAACAAAAAAGGGCATTCAAGATGTTTTTAACCGTTTTAAAACTTTGTTTCAGAAATGAACTGTATATACACTTTACAATAGCATACAGCCTGACAGATAACAAAGATCTCCTAAAACATTTTAAATACATCTTCAGCACAAATAGCAATTCTTGCAAGTAAAATGGCTTAATGTATACTGAAAATTAAACCAAAACAATAAGAAAAAAAAAAAAGGCATCGACACGACTGATCTTTTTGGCAGAAAAAGTGCCATGATTTAAATTTAATTCAGGACTTTCCCACAAAAGCAAGCTGTACTCTTTACATGCTAAGCTTAACAGTTCAGTGACATAGCGCTAAACTAAACATACAGATATTTGTAAGAAACAAAAAAAAGAAAACACAAAACTCCATCTGATGTAAAGTTAAATCTTCATTAATACATTTAAAAGTAGATATGACATGCCTTTAGAAATCAAAAATACAAAAGCTTTTTTCCTTACTTTAAGGATTTTTTTTTTTTTTTTTTTTTTTTTTTTTTTTACATGAAGCTGCATGTATTGTACAACACTCAGTGTACAATAAACTGGTAATGCACATAAAAATGAGTTGGATGAAATTTATCCAATGCCTCCTGTTGACCCTTCAGAATAAAAGCCATGACTGACGATTTTACATAATCGCACAGCCCAGTGACGAGATTGAGCGCATCGCACCACACAGAGTGAGGCTTGCATAACAGAAGATGGTCAGGATGGTGAGAGATCATTGGGTGGATGGGGAGCTGGGCTACCACGGTGGGATCTCGAGACCGGTCCCCTATTCCAAGCACATTACTTTTGACTCTGAATGGAATCATAGAAAGACACTTGAGCCTTCAGCCCACGTACACGTTACATTCATAGTCTGTGTACATGTGTACTCATTACGTTGTGTCTGAGCAAACACCGTTGTGGCTTTTAACAATGTAACTTGAATACAAGCTGATTTTTAAGTTCTGGAGAGCAATTTACTTGCGGCAAGAAAGGCAAAAACAAACAAAAAACAACCGTGAGCAGCAGGGATTGTTTGGGAAGAGTAGGATTCAACCTAGCCAATTTCCACATGGGGGCACGACTCAAATGGCATCACAGTACACAATATATATACTGCACACTATCGGCAAGGAAAAAGAAGAAGAAAATTAATAAATTGTCAAAGGGTGGATATCTCTATGTTTCAGCATCAGCAAAGCTTGGAGGTTTGATTGTCTCTTTCCAGTGAAGTATTTTATGGGTTGGAGCATGGGAGAAAAGCCACGAGGAGGAACTTGTATTGTATGGCACTATACAGGCAACACACACGCACGCACACACGCTGTAACATAAAATGCACTTAAGATTCCAACAAAATCTAAAGAAAACGTTGCCACACCGTCACAGGCTTGTATTAGCGACGGGCATCCGAGTTTCCGTGACTTCCCAAGTTTAGGCTTGTACAGTGGCCAAAACACGGACAACACTTCACCCTACTGTGCGTCTCATCATCAATAAATTATGCTGGGGAAAAAAACCAAACAAATAAAAAACAAACCAAAAACACATTCATTTAGTTACCATTCTTAAACAATCCTTTTAACGGCTAAAAACAAAGAACAAACGCTTAAAAATACTACGAAAAACATGTGAAACAGGCAGAGGGGCAGACGGTGAAGCTGACAGTAACAGTATGCTGCTGGTGCCAGGTATAGCTGGTACACGGTCTGGCCATTGACTTCTGCCACAGGTAGACTTTATGACACACTGGCAGAGGTGCGCTACATTAGTCATAATGCTACTGATATAGCCATCAAGTTACACGTGACAATTAAAAGAAACCGATCGAGGTTTTAGCGAGAATACTTGCTCAGGAGCCGGAGACAATACTGATTACACACGAATGACGAACTGCTATTAAAACGAGGAGTTAACGGTGACACATCACTTTGAGAATGAATGCCCTTAAATCATTACAATGTGTCAGATTTACAGGTCAAAAGATCCTTAACATTTAAATCAAAGAGCCATGTTGTGTCCACGTGTGAAGCCAACACATTCATTTAAACCTCAGAATGAGAACAAGCTATAAAGTCCTGGATTTATTCCATTTTATTTGACTATGCAGCGGACTGTCATTTACAGGTTCTCCTATATGGGGAAATGGTTAACAATGAAACTTACATGACCCTTTTAAAATCTCGTATCTTACAAACAGAAATGAAATTTTTCTTTTAAACCCCATCTTTAAAAACAAAACACCAGTTTTACCAGAAAGCGCAAAAAAAAACAAAAAAAAACAAAAAAAACTGCAACCAACAACAGAAAGTTGACGAAGCTACAGAGGAATGCATATGACTTTCAAGGCTACAGTTTTTAGGCTTGCCCATACACCGAATCAGTGAGTGTGTGTGGCTAGGAGTAAACATACACACATGCACAGATTGATTTACAGGCCAGTCACTCCTGTTAAAAATGGTCTGTAGCCACAGAGTGTCGTATCGTCAGTACTGACAGCGTGAGCACCAGAGGGTTGGACTGCGGTCGGGCAAGGTGGAGTTCCTCTTTACCAGGTGGTGTTTTCATATCCACTAAACCAGCACCAAGACTTCAGAATTTAGTGTGGAGCTGATATCTGGCTCCACAGCTGAAGAGTCGCTTAAAAAGTGTCGACGACCTGGGCTTGTCCATAGTGTGTAATTTCATCTATGCGCTTACGATTTTTAGAAAATCTCACCCAGATCTTTTAAAAAGGTTTTCTTTTGAAGTTCTCTTTTTTTTCTTGTTAAAGCAATGGTGAATTTAAAAACAAAACCAAAAAAAAAAAAAAAGGCTAATTTTTATTTATTTATTTTTTTTTTAAAGTAATGGCAATGTTGTAGTTTGTAATCCAAAGAGAGGCTTTTTACACGCACGTGTTGTTCTCAGTCTTTTCATGTTGTCCCCATTTCGAGAGTTTGTGGTTGGCTTCAATCGGGGGGTAAAAGGTCGTGAAGCCGGAACCGTTCCCGAACGTGCGGCCGCACATCCTCATTCTGCAAGTCGAAGGGGTGGGGGGTTAGATTAAGTTTACTCACATGGTCAAGTTACTCTTATTGCTGATGTAGTTGATCCTACAAGAGTAAATGAAAGACAGGACAGCTTACCATCTCAACCAACTTCTCAAGGAAGGGCACCAGCTTCAAAAGCTCATTGTCATTCTTGTCCATGAACCAGCTCTCTATGGGAATCCCATTGGACAACTGCAGAGACCAAAGAAAAAAAAAAATCTATTTAATTAAACTGTGACCAAAGAAGAAAAGATCTGCTGTTCTGCTGTGTTTGAAGTAGCTGAAGATCTTAAGTGGGGTGGGTGGTGCTTTCTCCCTATAACAGATGTGCACCAATCTGAATGACCAGAATAGGCAGGATTAGAAACAAGTAGAGCTCAGGTTGAGCTGTTTGGAGACAAAGAGAGAAGCAAACCTGAGACGGTTTGGATATATGATTAGGGGGAAAGCAGATATACTGGATAAAAGATGTTGAATATGGAGCTGACACACAGGAGGAAAAGAGGAACCACAGAGAAGATTCATGGATGTAGTGAAGAAGGACATGCACACAGTTGGCGCTGACAAGAAGATGCTAAGGATACCACTAGCTGCAGGATGATCAGCTGTGTTTATCCCAAAACAGAGCAGTCAAAAGTGGTAGCTGTAACAGTTCACTGTCTAATCTAGTAATGTCACTTCACCCTTCTATCCTCTGCTTGGGGAGTTACTATCTATATATATATATAGCTTCTGTTCCTGAATTCTGGCATTAAAGCTGATCTAAAAAGGGGCGTTGGAGGAACATTATGTGCCCTTTTTGATACAAACTGTCAATTTCACTGTATTAGACACGTTTCAAGTGATGTACCAAAAAAAGACATTGACATTTAGTGTTGAGCCATATTTGAAATTTTGTTCAACTATCACTTGTGTTCAAGTGGATTTTTGTGCTAAATATTCAGGAATAAATCCCAGTAATATCCAATTCATAGTAGAGGGACAAACGAATGAAATCCCAAAATTTTTTTTCATTATTCTACTCATTGTCAGAATCTCTGATGCTTGCTGATAACCAGGCAACACCTGCATATCAGGTGTTGGTGTCTCACCTGATATGCAAAGGCTTGTGGTGAATTGTCAATAATGATGGTCTTTGAGAGATCTCTTCCCAAAATGTTGAGATCCTTGATGTAGTTACCCTGGACACAGACACAATGCTCACGAAACAACCTGTGCCTGCAGTCACAGTGGGCGAAGAAAAGGGGGGGGTGACAAAGTTAGCAAAATTAGTAAACAGTTAAACATCTGCTTTATGAGCTCTACTCTTGATTCGCTCTGCATAAAATTTGCTTTAAAGTTTCTTGTGCACCAATAACCAGCTAATAAAGCTCAACATACCTCACAAGCTGCTTTTTAGGATCCAAGATGTTGAGCAGTTTGTCTGCATACACCTTTTTAGAGGCTGTAAAGAGGATGATCTAGAAAAGAGAACAAAGAGTTCAAAAATCTTCAACTTTAAATCCTCATCTTCAAGCATTTAGAAATAATTAAGAGAAAGAACCAGCTTGTAATTACCTCATATATTTGAGACATGCGTTCCAGAAACTCTCTAAAGAATGGCCTCAGGCGCACATACACCTGCACAGGACAGTTTAATGGTCAGTGATCATTTCGAATGAAAATATGATCCCATAAGAAAAATTTGTCCTTTGAGGCTTTTTAGAGACATGAATATGGCCCCCTCTAGTGGCAACGTGAAGAAAGGGAAAAAAAAAAATAATAAAACAAGACATACCTGATAAATGACATCCTGAAAGAGGACAGGGAAGGTAAGTGCTGCGTCCTCCAGCTCATTTAAACTGCAGTGCACCAGAGTTTCATCCTAATCGACACACAGAAAAATGTCTTGAGTCTTTGGAGGCCTTTAAAGATTTCCAGAGAGATTCATTAATTTGAAAAAAGTGTTGCTGACCAGGTCTAGGACCAGAGAGAACTCAGGTGTGCTGCGCGTCTTCAGGGGAAGGGCTGGCTTACGAGTGAGCTGCTCCTCTGTCAGTGGAGGGACGTGCTTAATGAAGAAGTACCTACACACCAAAACAGACTCATCAGTAAATGCCACAACATTCACAGTAAGTTGGAAACCATTAAAAAAAGGGTTTAACTTAAAACTCGAGTCTGCTTAGATTCAATAGCCAAAATGTTTTACTTATCGCATTTTTAATGACTACCATTGGAGTCTGCAGACAATAAAATTAAAAGCCTTGTGTGACTGACCATGCTCCTAATTGTGTTTTTTCCTAAAAATAGGACAGTAAGACTATATAAGTGAGGTACTTCTGTACATAAGGGTGTCAGGTTGGTGGTCTGAGTGTCATGTCTCTTCACTTTGATTCTACTTAGTTCAAAGGTCTTTCAACAATATAAAAAAAGAAACATTAGCCTTTATCCCCAATTTGTCTGCCTGTCCACATGCTTGATTAAGCTGAAATAATCACTGTAGTGTTTTTGTTGTGGAAACGGTTCAGTGAAGTGTAGCAAGCCTTTAAACTTACGGGTCAAACACTTCCCAGTCTTCCTCGTAGGATGCCTCTGGTGGTACTGTAGCTGGAAGGGTGTCCACATGTGCCATATCTGGACTGGTGCCTGGAGCTTGGAGCGCAACAACAGTATTTTAAAAATATTAGAATCAAGACCATAAATCAGCATCACAAGAAGAGCAATCAGTTGCCACCATCTTCATTGTTACTATGTTTTCTCAGCTGTGGTATCTACCTGTGAGAGGGGGGAGGTCAGCATCCGTATCCAGCTCTCCTTCTTCGGTTGTGGGAGAAGCCTCGAGGATGTGTGGCGGTCGCAGAGGTGGGAGCTGTGAGACGCTCGAGTAGTAGTTGGTGGTGACGCACAGTTCCTGCGTGGATGTAGCAGTGCTGGTGGGCGTCTCCACAGCTTGCTCAATGTCCAGCTGCTTGACTATCTCCTCAGCTTCTAATGCTTGGTCTGGAGAGTCCGAGCCGGAAGAGGCTGAAAAAAAGAAAAAAAAAAAATGGAAAGAAGAAAAATTTAAGATGGTGCCATTCTGAACTAACTAAGAAATGCATCTTCATCCTAACTTGCAGTCCAAAACAACTGGAAGAGGGGCTGATTATTGTCAAAGAGCAGCTTATGTTAGATTGTTTGACTTTAAAGTTAGTAATAAAAAGATAAAACGTGGTTTCTGTTTACAATTGAAAGCACAACCCCGACTACTTTGGACTCCACTTACCATTCTTAGCTGGTGAGAAGAAGTTGAAAACGGGGGAGAAGATGGTCCCGAGAAGGGTCGTTCTGGGAGGGCTGGTGGTCACCTCAACGGCTGTCGTCTCCTCCAGACTACCATTGGGCTTCTCTTTACTCCTGTCGTGATTGGTTGCCTCTGCAGAGGAGGAGAGGGGACACGTTCAACAGTGTTAGCAGAGAAAACAGAACTAAATAATAACTAATCTTGTTTATGTGAGTTACTCACGTCCATTGACGGATCCTCTCCTGCCAACTCTGCTTATATTCCTCCTGGGTGTGTTGGGGTCTGTGGGTGTAGAGGTGATCAGGTTGTTGTCCACATCACAGTGGAGGCGTGTCTTCTTTGCTGGGGTTTCCTCCTGAACCTGACAAGACAACACACCATTACAGGAGTTGTGCAAGTTATGAGTGCAACTGTAATTAAATAAAAGGCAAACAGATTTATCTCTGTTCAGTTGAGACCTCTAAACATTTCCCAACCATGAGAGAGAAGGGAAAAATCTTTTGTTGATGGTTCAGAATGACCGTTCTAGATTAGACCATCAGACACATCTACTATATAGACTGACTAACCGGTCCATTAGACCAGTTATTCTCGCCCTTGTAAACTGCCCTGCACGCCAAAAGTGATGCCACATCTGCTGCTGCAAGTCACGTTCTGGTGCAGATTTGGCCAGCCATGCATCTCCAAATTTTGGTTGTTTTGTTTGTTTGTTTTTAACCACCAGTTTAAGGACGCACCATTACATAAGCTCAGCGACTGACAGATTACACAGAAGGGGATGTTGCAACATTGCAACACAACCATGCCACCCCCCCCAAAAAAAAAACACCCCTAAATAAACAAAAACACTGGTCTCCGCTTTAAATACTGCAGCAAGCATTCGCAGACGGTGCTGGTATAATCAGTACCGAGTTCTCGCACTTGGCATATAACATGCAAAGAGTATAACAGGCTAATCAGGCATCAAACACAGAAGAGCCTTTTTCTTTATGTAGAGATATTTTTGGCACCCATTACCAGCTACAGTCTGTCATTTTTGTTATCTGGTGGTGCCATTTAAGCATATTTAATAACGTCACTGAAGCATAAGGTGATTCAAACGCCCAACTTTTACTGAATGTGGATCCACCGTTTACATGCACAGTAACCCTGACACATGAACAACAAAGAAAAAGCTAAATGATATTGCTTTTGTTTTCCCCCCATATCTCTCAAATGCAAACTCTCATTATGCTTCCACTGAACCTACAAAAATATCTGCATGACACAGTGTATTGTCATAAAGGTCAGAATCTAAATTAAGCTCCCCCCCCCCTAAGGAGTTAAAAACATATTTATAGAGACAGGGCAAAAACAAAACAACAAAAAGAAAACACCTTTTGGGACTTCATAGGAAACTGCAGGGAGAAACCTAGAATGTATAGTGTGATTATCAAAATGGCCATATGTCTTTTCATAGGACAAACGTCTCTAAGCAGAGTTGACTTTTCCACTTGTTACCACCTCCTGTCCTTGCACACCAACTCTGTGAGCCAGAAGCTAAAATTAGACCAGAGCCCGAGTTCTCAGACAAGCTGCTGCATTCCACCAGACATTTCCTGGGAAACATGACACTCTCCACCAAGAAACACTGTGTTAAACTTAGAGACATTGATAGCGCATTGGTTTTTAAAGCAGTGTTTAACATACGTGCCCAAAAAAATTTCATCTCTTTAACAGCTAAAAAAAAAAAAGACAGCAGGAGAATAACTTCTCTGCCTACAAATTTTTATTTTTACTGCTCACAGACTGGGTGATGCGAGCTTGGAAGAGGTTACCTTTACAGCATTTCCTCTGATGAACTTCTTGATGGTGGAGAACAATCCTCTCCCAGTAGTAGGAGTGTCCTCTTCTACTTCTGAATGCCTCCGCTTGGTTCGGGATGGGCGGCTTGCCAGAGTGGGGTTCGGTTGCTGAGACGCCTTACGCATTCTCAGCCTCATTGTTTTAGCAGTCACATGTAAGGCTGTTTCAGAAAAAGGAAACAAAAAAAAGAGCAAATACAGGAAGAGACAGAGGAAATCATTATGGCTGTACAGTAGAGACAACAGATTTAAGCAAACGTTCAGTTGGTAATGAGTACAAACAAGTTGTTCTAGCAGTCTCGAATGCATTAACTTTTAAAATGGGTGAGTCAACGGGTTGCATCTGTGTGCAGAGGAGTAACACTGGTGAATTTTCTACCAACATCTGGATGCATTCAAGATCCCGTTTCACTTACATCAGTGGATCCGGCAACAACAGCTGGCTTTACTTTCATTTGTACCACTAATGGAAAAAAAAAAAAGTTACCCAGGATCTTACTGTACATATAGACATAAGCCCGTGTTAGACATAAGCTGAATAACTATACGTAAATATAAACAAAACAAAATCTGAGGGAACTACAGATATTTCGTTGAGTGATTTAGCACTGTCCTCGCCAACCTTTGCAGAAAACTTAAAAACAATTCACAGTGAACAAAAACTGTCAAGCATGCCTGGCCTTTGTGGTTACGCAACTAAAAATGTGTCCAGACATATCCAGCAGCAGTCCACACACACACACACACACACACCTTCTCATTGGATACAGTACACATCTCACATACTGTAAATGTACTTCCCTACATCTGCTTCACATTTACACAGGGGCGTATCCATGAACATGCCACAAGTGTGCACGCTGTTGCCCAATCCCACACACAGGGGAGTGAAAAAAAAAAAAAAACTTAAAAAAATAAACATCACCAGGAGCGTGCATGCTGACAGTGTGCCTGAAGGCTGCGGCTGCTCCAAGTATCAAATAACTTAGCAAGTGAAGACAGTGTCATTACTTCACTGTAACTGTACTCGTAAGGGAAGGATGCAGTCTATGATTTATTATACATAGGTTTCCTTAAGAAAATAGTTTAAAAAAAAGTTTCTCATTTGAGGGGGCTGTTGGGGAAAAAAATAAAATAAAAATGTAAATAAGGCCATGAGGAGAGATTTTGTAATAAACCTGCCAATTTAATCCAGTTTTAGAACATTTTAAACTGTATGTGTATGCTTTTGAGAGTTAAAAAGAAGATTATTTTAGTCTACTTGTGCACTTTAATTCTCCTGAAAGATCCTGTTTTACTTTATAGAACACCGTATTTCCATCATCTTGGCACAAACACTTACACTGTACTAAAATAAGATCACAAAATAAAAGCTTCTTTATTAAACAATTTCAGGTTTCCCTTCTCAGTGAGTTTTATGATTTCACAAAAGTATACAAGAAAAAATGTCTAGGATTAAAATGAGTCTACCTGCTACCTTTATTCAGCTAGCTTTTTTTTTTGTTGAAATATTGTTATCAAATCTTGTATTTAGCTTTTTTAAACCATACGAGTTTCTTTGTTATACTCATTTTTCTTAAACTTTTAAACGCTCCAAAATAACTGACATTGTAGATAATCCACCACAGCATTCCTTACACAGCCCTTAATATATAAAATATCAATTATGTTAGCACATACTACTTGTTAAATCTTAGAAAACAATAACTAAAACTTTACTTTTGATACTATTCTGCCCACTGGTTTAATGTATTCTTGTTTCCTCTACATTACAGTGGAAACACTCAAAATAATGGTGAAGCTCACACTGGTTTTTGTTTAAGTGATCGATATGCCATTATAGCCTGCAGTATCAAGTATTATTGATTCCAATATCCCAGCGGTTACCTTTAATCTTTGCAGACTGTCACTACTTGTTTTTGTTATGGTAATGTGTTTAGCAAAGAACGACAACTTCTGACACCGCTGTTCTCCTAATTACAAAGTGTTATGAGTAGAAATGTCATCTTTACGCGTTCACTTTGCATAGGGGTTTTTCTAGAAATGAAGGAACACAGTTATGTCCATTACTTTGTGTAGTCATGCCTTTCTTTCTTGTGCATTTCACGGGAATGTGCGCAGCATACCGGACTTTCGAGTTGCTGCTAAATAAAGAATCATTTAAGTGCTTGTTTTAATTGCTGTACGATCAAACCCCACTAAAGCTCAAGACGGCAACAGCAAAGCTACTAAAGGTCTACCTTTCAAGCACAGCATGCACTAAATGTTTGCTTCACCAAGGAAATCAGCCACTGACCGAGAATCATGCACACAGCAAGAGAGCGGGAAATAGGAACATGCATGCAGCTGAGATTGTATGAGCAAGCTAGCCGCTAGCCCTGAAAACACACTGGAAAAACGAGTGAGGCCCTTCGCACAACCCGTCCGCTCTGCAAAATTTACCCCGAGGCTAGGGTTGGCTAAGTTGCTTAACGAACAGATGAATCATACAACATAACCGGCAAAAACCACTAACATTTAGACGTATTTCACACTATTTCCACTTCACTTAGCGACAAGAAAACAGGCGTTTGAAAATGTTTGATCAGTTATGAACCGACCATACCCAGCTAAATGAGCAGCTAAAGCTAATCAACTGAACCAAGTACAAGAGGTCAAATTATGCTTCGTTCATCGTAATAAAACCAAACCAAAAAAAACAAACAAACTCGACTACACAATCCTGCTTTAACGCAATTTGATATCATACTGACAGGCTTTGCGTCAGCCTGAAAGTAACGTTGCATTGTTTATGCGACCTGGCACTCTGGTCGCTAAAAGTAACGTTAGCATATTCAACGAACCAAACCCCCCAAACAGGCTAACTTACCGTCTGCAAGCCAGTGCGACATCGTGCCTTCAGCGGAATGACGTTAAAAATGAACAAGACGACTTAATAAAAAGCATAGGTCATCCAAGCTGGCGTAAAGTTTGGTGGAGGGGTTCACTCGAACGGCGTTACTGTCTTCATGTTTGTCAGCGGAAACTCGGAATCGTCAATCAAAACAGCCAACAGTAGCGCTATTTTATCTGCTAATCCCAACCCCGCTACATTTAACCAACAATGCAGCTGATGCACCGGTCTGCTGGGGTACACGGACACGTCTAACTGAGCGCCCTTTGAATTCTATTAAACGGAAAGCACGGTGGTAAAGAGCCACCCTGGCGGAACTCAGCTGAGGAATGCCAAATTGGATGCTAGGTTCAAAGGATGCTAGCAGGATTTACCTGGCGACAATCTGCATTGTTACATCTGTTACCTTATTTGGGTAAGAGTAGGTACATTCTATATGACTGTTGAACTAGTAACAATGTAGTCAATTTAGTAATAACACTGAGTAGATAAAATGTAACTAAACGTGACATCAGGTTGTTCAGGAATTAGCCAGGTCCGTGGTAGGCCATGTTTAGCCGTCCTTAGCTATATAACCTAGCTTAGCACCGCTGGGTTAACTAACCGAGCCTTCTTAAAAACCAGCTTCTGGCAAATAGATGTGCACAGGACAGGGGAAAAATAACTATCTTATCGTTAGCCACTATTACATAAATGAGGAGTAAATAAGTCAAATGAACGGGGTAGGTTAGCGTGAGCGACTTACTTTACAGTGATCCGCAGTGGCTGGAGATGATGACTCAAGGCTGATTAACCATCACAGCAGAGGCACTGGTTTGTTTTTGTGATCGGTTCCGAGTTTTTCCTTCTATAGCTACTCACGGACTGTCTTCAAAATGACACACCGTTGTGTTACCAGGCGCCATTTCCCGCCTCTGCTCAGTCTCTCCGAGGCAGATACCCGTATGGGACACAGACACACCCCCTTACCTCTCAAAAACACCAGCCAGTCTGCAATGATCACTGCCGCGAACCGTTTCTTCTGCCAGCGATCATAAAGGTAAAGGACTGCTCGTCGACAAAGCAACAACCAAAATAAACAAATAAATAAAACAAATAAACACAAAACCCCACTGGATATGATGCACTACAGATACCCAGGCAAAACACGACTATTTTGAGAAGGATGACAACCTATGCATCTGCATTGACTCTAAAGTACCGTCACAAATGACATGAAGCATCACCTTTAATAAAATAAAATTACATTCATGTGCCTTTCCATGAGAAATCAATTTTCCTGGTTGCACAAACAGAACTAATTTTATGTTCACAGAAACCTCATTCATGGAAGCATTTGTACAGTATGTCAGCTCCACATGTGCTTGGTTAATCACACTGTAGGACACCAACATTGTTCTAAGTATTGCTTAAGCATGAGTATTTTGCTCAATTTGATTAATAAAAAGTTTCAAATGCATGCAATGGCATCATTTAAGAAAAAAGAAAAGCACTTTTTAGTCTGTCAAAGTAAGAAACGGATTCAACAGGCCATGAGTAGAGTCCTTGGCATTTGTAATGCATTCCCACTCTTGTAAACAAACAAACAGAAAAGTTTTCCATATAAGAGTCCCACGATTATGTTAGAAAGGCAGAATGCCAAATTAGTCTCTGATAAACATCTCAGATGAAGAGTTTGTACCAAGCAACAGCAAAGTGAGAAGAAGAAGAGTAGCTAAACCAAAACATGGTCTGTCCTTGAAGTTCAGATGTGGGTCATTAGGGCCGGCATGAGCCGGTGCAGTTATCAAATACTCAACAGTCAAAGTACAGTATATTATCTCTACTGTCATAACTTAAAGCCATTAGCAAATTAACAGCAGCTTGGGGAAATGCCTTGTGTGTTTTTTTCCATAGTATGTTACATTATTTAGAATTACTTCATTAGCTGCAATGTCTGTTCTTCAAAATAGTCCATGACATTGAGATTGCAACCTATAAAAGTTCTTAGACATACTGATGTTTTTTTGTCAAGAGAAATCTCACTTGTGGAGATGGGTCTGAATGTGTTTTTTATGAGATACGATTGTATGAGTTTCCATTCAAAGAATGTCGTTGGCTTGATGTCTTTTTTTCCCATAATCCACAGCCCGATCTCCCTGCATATCTCGATCGTCATCATCTAGAGGGAAAAAAAGAAGAAGAGAGAAACACAAATATTAGAGAATGCACAATTAAATAGATGCAAAATTTACTACGTGTTCTGAATAATCTCTGGTATATGAGGATGACACCATAATGTAACATCGTAGTGCTGACTTTAAGCTTTAAAGGATGTTGATGTCAACCTTCTGTGAATTGTGTAATATCCAGAGCCCTCTCTGATTCCCTTCAGCAACACTGATTTATGTACAAGAAATATATCAACAGATTGTTCATTTTAGAAGAAACTCAACCCACATCATTCTAGGATATTAGCTTTCCTGTTGGTAACTTTAAATAGCAAGTGTATATATATAAGAGACTTCATGTTATGGCATATGTATCTGATAAATGTAAGACAAATGAAAAAACAGCCAATCACAGAACTGGCAGATCAGAAATAAAATTATTTTTTCCTTTGATAGATTCAAACAAAACACAATTTCCCTAAAAATACTATTGTAGTTTCGGTATGAAATAGTGCAATTTTATTTAAAAATCCAAAGGGCAATCAAAACAAAGAGAGAGAAAAACAAACAATAAAACAAACAAACAAACAAAACATGGACATGCATTTCAATATTTCAAGGAGAACACAGACACATTCAGGAACACAGTGAGCTATATATATATCTACTGGGCTAGATGTAGGTCAGATGTTTGGTGGGCACAGACAGGTGGTTTAGCTAAAACGAAACATAGGCAGGACAGAAAACACTAGATGACCACTCAATTACTCTCACAGAACCGCAAGTTCCTGGGTCAAGTTCTCCCTCTACATAAGATAAGAGGGTATTAAGACTGTTATAGGGCTGAGTAAAAATATGCAATTCTCCTGAATTGCACACAAAGCAGTTCTGCTTTGATCCTCAGGTATTTTTGCCACATTTCTTTTTTTTTTTTTAAATATCTGTATTTACGATGACGTAAAGACCAAACTCAGGGTTGCTGTGAGCTACTTAATGTAGCAGGTTGGCAGGACAGGGGTGGAGGGAGGGAGCAAGGAGGAATGGTGGATAAACATCTGGACAAACAGTCCAATCCCCTGGCCTGGCTCACCTTGAACGTCTTCCTCCCCACCATCACCATCCTCTTCCTCATTGTAGGCCAGCTCGGCCTGCTTGTCAGCCTCATACTCACCCACGTTCCCATCATCCCCATTGTAATCCGCCAGCTTAGAGCCGTGTTGCGGATCTACTGGGGACTCGTTCTCATCAAAGAATCGGCCTGCAGGAGGCAGAGAAGGGCCTCATCAGGACGGAAGGGAAGCGAAGGCAGTTGTAGGAAGATAGGGAGGGGAAATACTGCATCATGTATGCATGAAGGAAAAAGTAGTTGCATTAAGAGAATGACAAAAGATGAGAAAGATGAGGTAAATACATGGTGCCTTCTGAAGAGAAAAAAAAAAAAAGCCAATCGTGGTCTTGGATGCAGTATTATAAATTAAGAGTTTGCCTACCACAAGATTCACAGCATGTGGTGGCGGTAGTGTGGTCCAATGTGGCCCAATGTGGCTTCAAATAAGAGGCCTCTTTGGAGAGATCTGAAAACTAACTCGAAAACTAACTCGAAAATGAGTTTTTACTGCTGCAGTTTCTTTCGCACCAGCATATAAGACTGCTTATGTTCCTGTCTAGACCCTCACAGATTTCGAACCGGGATGGGAATTGGGATGAGCTGTGCAGTCTGTAAGCTGATAATGTAAACAGAGATGACAGCAAAAACAAATCACCTAAAGGGTGTTAACTTCTACACTAAATTGAAATTTAGAAGAAGGATCAGAGCAGAAGAAAAACAAAATGAAAACTTAGTGGGTTTTTTAAGCAGCAGGGCTGCAGATGACGAGATGGAAGTGTAAAAGAGAGAAAAGAACTGAACATTTTAAAAAAGAGAGAGAAGGAGGAAGAAAGCGCAGTAGAGCAGAACAGAAGTGAGGTAACAGGAAAGGAAAATTGAGGAGCCAAGTGTGTCATTTGTCTCCCTCCCCCTGCAAGAGACCCTTCTGTGACAGCCCTAACCATGTTCAGATAGGACTTATATACTTAGAAGTCCCATCTTTCATGAAAATGTGTTATGTTTAGGAGGATGCACTGACTTAGAAACTGGAAAAACTGTACACATGACACCACAGTAAGTTATATTTTAATCCCTGCCTTATTAGATATTCAGAAAAGTATAAACAGAACTAACTTACCATAAATGCTATAATTGTACTTGAGTGGAATCAATCAATGAGTTAAAGAAAAGAAAATAATCACTACCCTCATTGCCAATAGCAGGGTTCACTTTTTCAGAGTTTATTAGAGGAACTCACTTTGGCGGTGGTGTACTGGTTCTGCTGGAACTTGGTCTTTGGCGTGGTGAGGCTGGATGGGATTGGGCACCTGGGCAGGGTTGGGGGGCAAAGGAATCCTCTTCAAGTGTTCACCTTCAACTCTGACATCACTGGGAACTGATTATTAGAAAAACAAAACAAATACTTCAAACGTCAGGCGCAGTTGTTCCCAGTACTGCTTTCTCAAAGCTATATTTGCCTTCTTTAAGGGAGCACTCAAACTTTTGAAAGAGGTTACACATCACTTGAAAAACTCATTACAAATGGAGGAACTGTAAACAAATAATGTAACAGGATAACAGTTCTCTCCCCTTTCAGTCTAGATGTGGCAAAAGACAAACCACCCAAAAGCTAAAAATCTATAATAAGCTGTAGTCACATTATTATCCCATGCCTAAAGGCTCAAAATAAACATTGTTAAAATTAATAGCAGTTACATGGATGTGGTTACTGCACCTCGAAGTTGCCTTTGCTGTTCTCCCAGCTCATCTGCCTTGATACCCACTTTGTTGTCTTCTTCAAATACTATTGATTTGTCTCCCTGTTTGTTGATGCCTGGAGGTGCAATCACTACGGCTCGGCCATCCAGTCTGTCCTGCTGGAGTCCGGGCTGGTCCAGCAACATGCCCTGGCCTCCGGGACCATCAGCTCCCCCGACTCCAGGTCCAGCACCGGCTCCCACGGCCACATCCGGGGCTTCGTCGTGTTTCTGGGTAATGGCTGGTTTCTTCAAGCCTGTAGGCCAAAGACAATGTGAGAAAGGTCAGTGACCTACTTGCCACAAGGATTTTGTTTTTAAAAAAAAAGAAAAAAAAAGAAAAAAAAAGGGTAGGGTTACAATCAGTGACAGAAGGGAGAAGGATTTCCTCACTTTATATGCACTATTCAGGTAAGTAAGCTATGTGGGTCAGTTATTGTTCTCTAGTTACGGATTCAGTTTCAC